CATTCTGTTTTATTTTTGTGAAGAAACTTAAAATAAACTTTAAAAGACTGTTAAAGCGTAATTTCACAGATATTTCCTTTTTTATTTTCATAGATAGTATTGTTAAATCCTTCATCCTCACTAGGGTCGTGGGGGGCTGGAACCTATCCCAGCTGACTCAGGGTGAAGGCAGGGGACACCCTGGACAGGTCACCAGTCTATCACAGGGCTACACTTAGAGACAGACAACCAAGCACACTCACATTCACACCTACTGACAATTTAGAATCACCAATTAACCTCAACATGTTTTTGGACTGTGGGAGGAAGCTGGAGAAAACCCCCGCTTCACTGGGAGAACACTGGGACGTGAACTGGCGACCTTCCAGTTGTGAGGCAACGATGCTAACCACCAAGCCACCTTGCAGCCCTCTGAATTTAATGTGATAAATATATTTGTAGAATTAGATGCAGTTACTGGCAATTGACATAAAAAGCCTAATTGGTGAATGAATGTGTTTTCATTAGTGTCCAGTGTGTATTAGCATTGGTAGTCTGTCAAATCACACCTTTTATCATTTTATAATGATGTCATTTAACATCATATTTATCTATATCATTTATTGTTATTATTGAACCTTAAAAATTGAGCAGCCAAAAATACTTACGTAAAACTAAGGCTAAATAATGTGTTTTAGTTCTATATTTTTCTAAGATAAGATGCTTGATTTCCATTATTTTTGCATTATTTCTTTGCCATCCCAGCTGCCGAAATACTACTTTTTTTTTAACTCTTTTTTTTTGTTTTGTTTTTTTTACAGTGCACAAGTGTCTTAACAACCTGTCTGTTAAGCCATTAGCCATTTTAGTTTTTATTAGTTCTACGCGTCATATTTCCTTATTACCATTTAACTGTTATCAGTTCTAGTATCTCACTCTTGGCAAGAAAGGCAATACTCATATTTCCCAAAATGTTGAACTATTCCTTTAATGAATTATTCTTAAATCCCGAGTATTTGCGTGATAAAGCCACATCGTAGGCTTTGTTGTGTAACAGTCAGGTTTACTTCAGTATGTGGTTGGTAATAAAGATGTAACCAGTTAATTCTGTGACAGTCTGTCCCTCAGTGTTATCCTCCGTGCAGCAGACCGAGATCCTCCTAAAGAAATTAAACACTCGGCCTGAACAGGCTGGTGACCACTAATTTAACCCCATTCAGTATTAATCCCTCTTTGCCTCCGCATTTTGGCCGAGTGGGTCTACAAAAACACAGATCTTTTTACTGGTTCAGCCTCAGTCTCCGACATTGCCCTCCTGTTTCAGAAGCAGCTATTTTTGTCTGCTCTCACTGCGTCACAGTGAAGAGAAGAAGGAGATAAGAGTCAAGGCTTAGGGAAATCTTACATGCCCTAATATGCCTTTCCTTATTTCTGTTAACTATGAAATTCAAGCCGGCCGTACATGGGTGCATTTTAATTTCCGCATGTTTGAACAGTTTTATCCTAAAAGTTATGTACTGTTTGACATGAGGTGGTGTGATTTTATCTTGTGTTTACAAAGGCAATAGTTGCATCACAGGGATTTTCCTCCTGCACCATATGGCCCTGCTTAATAAAACCATAAATCTGCAGCCCAGGAGTGTGTCTCCAAGGTTATACACCTGAAAAAAAGAGATTCATAAAACAGCAAGCATTCATACTAGCACGCTGTCAGGGAGTCTAAAGAATGAACTTGTGTTATTGGAGGGAAACCTGGAATGTATTTCTTAGTCTCACTGTCCCAAAGCTTTCATTTTTGTCAACTCAACCAAAAGCTCACCTTATTAATATTTTAATGTCAGCGACAAAAATTTGGATGAAGAAGCGTTCCAGTAAGTTGCCTGAGTGTCCGAACAGACAGTGGTGTTCAACAGTTTGTTACCATGTGTTTGCCGTCCAAACGCAAGCTTTTGTTTCCTCTGTCATTGTTTGACACAGTGTTTGCTTTAGAAGCTGCAACATACATAAAGTCACGGTGAGGGAGCAGCCACCTAGTGCATGGATATACCTTTGTGTTGACAGTGATGATGCTGTTTGCTGGATGAGTATGAAACCCAATTCTGTCACACGTACAGTGTATTGTTACCTCGAGTCGAAGAATTTAAACCTTGAATATTCGATTTCTAGTGTAAAAGCTCATATAAGCTTGCTGTGGGTCTTACATAAACACAAAAACGCAACTGCTTAAAAGAATTTTACTCAAAGTTGGTCATATAAAAGGTAGCAGCTGTGCAGATTTTACAACAGACCCGTTACATAAAGGGATTAATGAGCCTGACAGCAATAATGCATTACAACTACACTCTGAAAATGTAGCATATCTGTTGGATTTAAAGCCTCTAACTCCTCGTGAAAACGCCATGCTTTTGTCAGCATTAGTACCTCTGCGACAGAATTACACCAGACTGTAATGTAAAAATATCTCTGTGCGGTGCTCTGGGCATCTGAGGTGCTTTTTGTTGGTGACAGGTCGAATAAAGCCACTGTTTATAGTGACTGATAGAGAGCGAACCACCACAGGGAGCCTCCCTGACTGCATGCAGCCGCCGCCATAAACAGGCAGCAGAGGGAATATGATGTAACAGTGCTCAAGCTGTTGAAGCGCTTCCTGGAATCATCAACCTACTGCTGTATGGCTGAGAGAGTAGAGCCTCGTTATTCCCTCTCTGCGTCTAGAAAGTATTGAGTCATTTAGGCATTTAGTCCCATGTGTCATTCCATCATTACATAAAGAAAAATGTGCAAAGTAGAACCAGATGGATTTTTAGAGACGGAGCCCCTTTTCTATTTTTAGAGTTTAAAGTTCTTGAAACTGTGTTTTAAGTAACTTTGTTTACCATTAAATATTCATATCTCAATAAGGAACAGTCAGAGTTATGCTTTGGAGGAAAAATTAGTTAAATATGCAAAAACTATTGATCAGTACTGCTGGAAACAGAAGCAAAAGATCCCAAAACTGTAATCACACTTTGATCCAAATGTTACTAAATGTTGATTCTGGCTGAGCCCTGCTCATATGAAGCCAGGGACAAAAACAAAACAGAAATCTCTTGTGAGAAATCACCAAAACACTTCTAACTTGATTATTCCAACTGATTATTCTGTCATCACTGAAGAACTTCTGAAGAGGTTTACAGGGTCTTTAAAGTGTGATTGGAACATATTTTTCAAATAATCACATAAACAAAAGGTTTGGTGAAGATCACCTAAATTTAGTCATTAAGTTATTGTGAGAAGAACATGTCCCATGTGTAGATATTTTAAACTTGTCCAATTGGTCATTTTTACTTCTGAATGAACTAAAACAAATCTGTATTTCTTTTTACTTATTGGCTGAACTATACACTGATGCCAGCATATTAATGTACAGTGCTACCCTCACTGAGACTTAAAATCTCCTTTTCAAGAATGTGCAGGCAGCAATAACTACGACTTACAGATAGAAAAAAAATATATAAAACATAGACACAAGACAAATTAGGTAACAAAAATTCAAAATATTCTGAATTATTTGAACATATCATCCTGAAAACAATCTGAATTGCTCCTCGGAAGAAGTCAGACCTAAAATATATCAGATAACCTTGGCAGAGTGTCATAACAAAATAATTGTTTCTAACTATTTCCTCATATTGGATCAAAACAACTAAGACTTGCATACCTTTTCTAAACGTATCTTAGATTTATGAGCACGCATTAAAAATATGTTTTAGTTTACAAATAGGCTTAACTTCTTCCAAAGTTATAACTGGAAGAACTGCAGTTGTATTAGTAGCTGCATGTCTGTGAGCTCGATGTGCAAAAGCTTAACTGTCACGTCAGGAGACCAAACTGCAGCACAGTGTGAGCTCATACTAATCCCCATAAGAATCATACACTGTAAACACAGTGTTCTTCCTGGACATCTCTCATGTACAGAGGCAAAATTATGCTTAGAGACTCTGTAACGCAAAATTCTTCATTGTGCATGACAAGCAAATCAACAGATGGTTGCCGGCAGGAAGCCTCTGACACTGAGAGCGAGGCTTTAGTTGATCTGTTCTGTCTAAGCTTCCAGCAACCGGCCCAAGATTCCTCATTACTGTCGTCTACACACAGAGTCTGAAACAGTGGAGTTTTAGCATCTTGTCTGCTCTAAAGCACCGGATTTAAAATGAGAGGGTTGTGATGTTGGATGTGAGGCTACTCAGGAAATACAGATTTCTAACACTGTCCCAGCAGGTTATGGCTAATTGTAAAGAACGCACATGTACTTGGTCAGGAAAATAATAACACCAGTTATTTTTTAAAACCTGGATTTATTGGCTTTCTATAATTTTACTCATTTGTTTGTTTAGCTACCTAAATAAATCTAATTATTTTCTTTTTTTTAAATACATTTTTAGAAATTGAAAGTATTAGGTCTACAGTCAACCCTTATTTTATTATCAATTAAATATTAAACATTTTAATTAGAAAATGGGGAAAATGCTTATTAAAATTTCCAAGTCCACAATGGTGTCTTTAAATGTCCTGTTTATTCCACATGCTTATTTTATCCCAGTGTTATGTAAGACAGAAAAGCATCAAATCCTCACGTCAACAGCAATTGTTTGCCATTTATTTAAAACATGAGTACGGTAACACTTTTCTGTTAAGCATCAGTAGATTAGTCACCTCGATCATGACACTCTAGCTATTATTATATATTTATATAATATGAATACATTTTTCATCATTTCATTTTACAATTTTTTTGAGATGTTTTGTTACATTTTCTGTCAATTATAGCTCACTACAGTCTGCTTCAATGCATTCCCCACATTGTCAAGCTTTATGGCAGAAGAAAAATTCTGCATTTCTTTGTTTCATTTTAATGTATGATATGAGTCCACTTCAGATTGTTAAAAACCATGAAACGGTACTGTGTGTGTACAGCATGGATGGCTGCAGCATTAATTCATGTCTAAACTGGTGCTTCCTGGTTTATGTGTGTTACGCAGATACAGGTGATGTCGTGGCCATCATGATCCCGGAGCCGAAAGGCAGAGAGATCGTGTCCTTGCTGGAGCAGCACATCATGGTCATGGTGCACATCACTATAGGAACCCGCAACCTGCAGAAGTACGTGAGCCGAACGTCGGTAGTGTTTGTCTCCATCTCCTTCATCGTCCTCATGATCATCTCCCTCGCCTGGCTCGTCTTCTACTACATCCAGAGGTTCCGCTACGCGAATGCACGGGATCGCAACCAGGTATGACTGCGTGCACGTTGTGCAACAGTTGATGTATTTCTGTCCTAAAAGGATGCTGACTGCAGCAGCGTTGCAGCATGATATTTGCCCTGCATGTTTTTCCATGCAGTGTGGGCCCTGGAAGGCTGTAAGAGAAGGCCAGAATTACCCTGACAGCTGGTCGAACAGAAACGTAGCAACCCAGTGAACCATCAACCAACTCAGCTTTCTGCCCCTTTGAACCAACAGTGCAAATAGTTGTTTTTGCTATCTCTTTATTANAAACATTTTAATTAGAAAATGGGGAAAATGCTTATTAAAATTTCCAAGTCCACAATGGTGTCTTTAAATGTCCTGTTTATTCCACATACTTATTTTATCCCAGTGTTATGTAAGACAGAAAAGCATCAAATCCTCACGTCAATAGCAATTGTTTGGCATTTATTTAAAACATGAGTAAGGTAGCACTTTTCTGTTAAGCATCAGTAGATTAGTCACCTCGATCATGACACTCTAGCTATTATTATATATTTATATAATATGAATACATTTTTCATCATTTCATTTTACAATTTTTTTGAGATGTTTTGTTACATTTTCTGTCAATTATAGCTCACTACAGTCTGCTTCAATGCATTCCCCACATTGTCAAGCTTTATGGCAGAAGAAAAATTCTGCATTTCTTTGTTTCATTTTAATGTATGATTTGAGTCCACTTCAGATTGTTAAAAACCATGAAACGGTACTGTGTGTGTACAGCATGGATGGCTGCAGCATTAATTCATGTCTAAACTGGTGCTTCCTGGTTTATGTGTGTTACGCAGATACAGGTGATGTCGTGGCCATCATGATCCCGGAGCCGAAAGGCAGAGAGATCGTGTCCTTGCTGGAGCAGCACATCATGGTCATGGTGCACATCACTATAGGAACCCGCAACCTGCAGAAGTACGTGAGCCGAACGTCGGTAGTGTTTGTCTCCATCTCCTTCATCGTCCTCATGATCATCTCCCTCGCCTGGCTCGTCTTCTACTACATCCAGAGGTTCCGCTACGCGAATGCACGGGATCGCAACCAGGTATGACTGCGTGCACGTTGTGCAACAGTTGATGTATTTCTGTCCTAAAAGGATGCTGACTGCAGCAGCGTTGCAGCATGATATTTGCCCTGCATGTTTTTCCATGCAGTGTCGGCCCTGTAAGGCTGTAAGAGAAGGCCAGAATTATCCTGACAGCTGGTCGAACAGAAACGTAGCAACCCAGTGAACCATCAACCAACTCAGCTTTCTGCCCCTTTGAACCAACAGTGCAAATAGTTGTTTTTGCTATCTCTTTATTATGAATGGCCTCCTCTGACGTTCTGCTGACGTCTGTAATGGTGATACATCACCTTGTCTGTTATGATAGGAGCCACGGCTGTGACAACCGTATGTTTGCATTTTCACTTTTAATTATGTTGATTTATGTTGTACAAAGAATTCAGCCATATTGAACAAATCTGTTTCCCATTTATTTCCCAGGCAGCCTGGTAAGGTAAAACAGACTTTGAACAGTTCAATAATGACGAAGTGTTTTCTGAAAATAAATCACGCAGCTAGAAAATGTGGTTTGAAACAGGTGGAATCATAATATTCATGGGACAACCTTGAAAATAGTCCAGAAACACAGTTTGCATGCAGAAATATACCCTTCATTCCCACATTTATCTTTTATGATGCCTCTTTTGGAAATGCATGTACATCTACACAAAGCGTCAGAAGGTAGTTTCTGAAAAATCGGTATTTCATTGTCTGGGTCCGTTGTTGGCTGGCAGCATTTTCAACAACACAAAGAGCTAAAAATAGATACTTATCTTCTTACCTGGTTTCTTAACTGTGAGGCCACGGTGCATTCAAAGTAACTGCTTATTGTACAGTTTGTCCTTTAGATTGCTTTTAAGTCTCTCATCTGTAGTCAAAATTGTTTCCTGGTTTTTCTCCCTGGGCTTATTGATGATGTTTTATTGCTTTACGTACAGCAACAGATGATGCTGGTTCTATGTTCAGTTTAAATGAAAGGGATCTTTCAAATGTGCAGAGGTAGTTGGTACTTGTGACTGCAGACCAGTGGTGCTTAATCTTAAAAAAAAAATGTAATCTAACATCTAAGAATGTTTTTTTGTTTGTTTGTTTTACTTTTGATAATTTTAAGCCCAAATACACCAGTTATCGAGACTATGCTTTATATTACCAGACCAATGACAGACCTGCATACTGCTTAGATTTAAGAAACTGTCTTTTGTGTGTTATTAAAAAGCTACCGGCCACATCAGGAACAAAATAAAACCTTTTCTTGTATTTCTGCAGAGGCGTCTGGGAGATGCTGCCAAAAAAGCCATCAGTAAGCTTCAAGTGCGCACCATTAAGAAGGGAGACAAGGTAACTGAAGCACCCAACACTGCAAATATCACACTTTACATAAGCACGTTTACTATAGACAAAGTACACACACACTTACTAAAAGTATTTTTCCACATTTGAATAGCATTATTTGAATGATAACGGACTGGTTAAACTGGATTCTGTCATTCTTTCATCTCTCTTGTTTGTATTTAAGGAAACAGAGTCAGACTTTGACAACTGTGCAGTTTGCATTGAAGGTTATAAGCCCAATGATGTTGTGAGGATATTACCATGCAGGTGAGGTTTGTGTGCATCGTCTTTGTCCCCTTGAACATAAAAAGTCTCCGTTTGTTTACACTGAAGCATAAAGCACATGCACCATAGCCAACAATATCTATGTATGTCAGTGTGCACTGCATTTTAGCAACCATTTATTTTAAGATGTGTATTTGTGTGCTGCCATCTTGTTTGGTCAGACATGTTTTCCATAAGCACTGTGTGGACCCGTGGCTACAAGACCACCGAACATGTCCCATGTGCAAAATGAACATCCTCAAAGCCCTGGGAATCCCAGTAAGTTTCTTTTGATTAATGTGGATTTTTTTTTTTTTTGTTTTATTCATATTTTTAAAACTGATAGTGTACAGTAGCTAACTGTTATTTCTCATATTGAGACCTATCAAACTCTAAAGTGGAACTTTCAAAGTGATGAAGACATGTATTATCTACAAAAGCAACTCCAAACATGTCTTTGGTTTGGTTCAGCTCAACCCAGACTGCTCAGATGAGGTTCCTCCGGACTACGAGGCGTCTGTCGGAGGTCCACCCACCAACCCCATCAGCGGGGCGAGTGAAGTCACAGTTAACGAGAGCTCGGTAGTGCTGGATCCTGCAGGAAGAGCGATAGACCTGCAGCAGCTCCACCCTGATGCAGAGACGACACCCCAGGCACTGGAGAGCCACGTCATTGCCAGCAGTACGTGCACACATGTAATATGTCATTAATAAGCTGAAAGCAGGCTGTGGAAAGTGGAAGGTCTGGTGGAAATAACTTAGCTACTCACATAAGTTCTTTCCTTCAGCACAGTTTTGAAATAATTACTTGACTATTTTCCATGTTTCCTATAGTATGTTTATACTACTTTACATCTAAAAAAATACTGTACTTTTTACTGCACTATGGCCATTATAGCTACTTTTCAGGTTAAGATTTTACACAACATTTAAGCTCATAAAACATATTGTTTATTGTTAAATAAGTGCATTACGACCCATTATAAGAGGGCTCTTGGAGTCTCATCCAACACTTGCACCAAATAGAGGTTTCCTCTCTAAACTTAGCAGATGGGTTTTATTTAAATGGTTGTCAAAGTTCCTATTATGTGACAAAAAGTATTTTTATGAAAACCTCTGAATCATCTTTCAATCAAGTATTTTTACTTTGTGTGATTTGTATTTAATTTAAGTAAAAGATCTGAATGCTGCTTTCACCACTGGTCTTTTTTTTTTTTTTTCTATTCTGAGACCTGAACCAGGTCAGCAGCCACCTGGTCATTGTTTCCCTGTTCAGATCCTGCAGCATAATGCCAGAGGAAAAAAAACTGCAGCAAGTCACAACCTGACCCACATAACCTCCCACACCCAGTCCGTTACATATTAGCACCTTATGCAGTCGCCTCACTGCTGCTGCTTTAACAACTGTTCAACACCTGCAAGTTATCAGAACTTAATAGTGTGAGTTTATGTGTGTTAGTTCATGCACATGCTCTGACACATGTTTTTTCAGCTACTTCTCCTCTGAAGCTAAACGTCTCCCCAAAACAGGGAAGCAAAGTTTTGATAGTTTCAGTCATATTTTTAACACTTGACCTTTACACTGACGTAGATGGAAAAACAAAGTTGGAAGACATTTTAATCTATTTGTGAGTTTTAACTTTTATTTTTTTAGTGTGTGGTACTGTATATTAGTGTCTCTGAATTTCCTGACATGATGCAATATTTAGCAGCAATAAGTCCTACCTTCAAGAAGTTATGATATTTAGGGTTTGGGGGTTTTTTTGTTTCTTTTGTTTTTTAAGAATAAAATGTATTGATTGAACTTTATGATCATTTTATAAAATGTAGTTTGTTGTGCTATTGCATTACACAGAGAGGTGCTTCTATTATTAAGCCTGTCCCCTGTGAAATAAATGGGGCTGACAGAACAATAGAATCCAGTGTTGGTAAAAATGTTTTTGCTATAGCTGCATTATTTTTGATACCATGCATCATACTGCTTTCAAAGCACAGACATGGATCCATGTCTTACTGGGTTGGCTCTACTTGGAGACAACAAAAAAAAAGTATTTTTTCCTCAGTTAAGTCCACACTGACAGACCAAAGACTTTACATTTACTTATGTGAGCTTGACAAGCTGTGGATCAGCTGGCCACATGCCAGGATTCATCTCAAGCCTAATGAGAATGTAAATTAGCAGTGATTTGTTGTATGTTGCAGCACCAATGAGCACAGAGAAGAGGCAGTTAGCGTGAGATGAACAAGCTGATCTGTCAGGGATTCTGCTGTGGGTTGGCAGTGATGAAGTGCTGATTGTGTTGTGCCTTTAACTTGAATGATAGCTCTTTTGTAATTGGTACTGCAGCTATCATTCTTTCCGCAGTCAACCATTTACTTACTGTAAATCAAGCTGTCTGTCTGCCTTAATATATCGCTCACATGTCCATACGTACACTGAAAGTGTTGTTGGTCATGCTAATCCGTCTTTTGCGGAAGAATAAAAGGGAGATAAAATGTACTGTTAGTTCCTGTTTTGTGTCAAAAAAGAGGGTCATTCAAAGCTAATATGAGGCTGCGGCTATTTAAAGGTGCCATGATCAAAATAAACTAGGTTGTGTAAAGTGTCATCAATGATGAGAGAAAAAAGTGTTTTTAACTAAACTATACAGCAATACTTAAAGGTAGGATCCAAAGTCTGCTGTCAAAAGCCATATTTCCATCTGAATGTTGTGCAGATTCTAAATGAACTACCACCAATTGAGCAAGGTGCAAAGAGAGGATATAAAGGAAAGTTCTGGTGAACCTTAACATGTATGAAACTGATGGAAATGTTGCATTTATGTTGGTTTTGAGCTATTAAATTGAGGAGGGTTCCAGTCTCCCTGTTGCTTCAATCAGATCTACTTTCCATCTCATGCTTCATGGTTTATTCACCAGAGGCAAGTGTAAAAGCTTGTTTGTCTCCTTTTTTACATTTTGGCATGATGAAAATATTATTATTGACATTTTGATAGAAACACACGTGGATTAACACATCTTGAGCCAATCTTTTTTTTTTTTAAGCTATTAAGCTTTTGCACTTGATTGGAGACAGAAATGTCAAAAATGAAACAAAGGCTTTGGGGAACATTTTCAATCCTGCCTATTATTTTTAACTTTGCATTCCTGACACAGATGCAGTTTGACCATTACATAAACCTGGAAGTACACTGGCACCTTGAGTTAAATGGGTATTTTCCAGTCTTTGGAACACAAAATTCCCTGTTTTGTTTATGGTAACACAAAGCGAATAGAGACAGAACTATACTGTATGTTTGTCATCGACTGTGTAGTGGCTTCATGTTCAGTGTGGACAGTAAGAATGATTATAACCACCAAAAGCCTTTTTTTTTATATACTATGTGTGTGTTTTATCAAAGCAGAATGGAATAAATGTGAACATGTCCTTGAACTCAGCTGTATTCTGCTGCGTGGCACAAAGTTTAAGGCACTAAAGTAAAGTGTCTGCAGCTGACTGGTAGAAATTCTTCATGGCACCATTTTTGAAAGCGTCATCAAAGTGCACTAAGCAGAAAAAATGTGAAATATCTGGTGTGAGCATTTGTCTTTAAAGCAACACCAGTTGTCCTAGGCACACCAATACACTGTTGTTCATGCTACGTGGTAGGTTCATTGTTTCATCATCTCAAAGAACTGACCACAGTTCTTCCCAACATTCAGTCCGTCTCTCTGTCTTTCTCTTCTTGTAATCATAGACCGACTCCACATTCACATCAGGACTCATCGTTCTTCTTGTGGCTAAATATAGTTCATGATTCTGGCTGTTGTGCTGCAGAATGAATGTGTTACTGAACAGATGCCTCCCTGATGACAATGCAAGACTCGAAACATCTGTAGTGCCTTTTGCAACCATACTAGTATATATTTCATACAAACGACATTTGAAATGTGAGAACAGTGTGGTAATGTGACGGGAGTTCTTCATAGTGATGATCCTTCAGAGAATTATCACTCAAATCTGTAGCTCCCTTCAGAGTTTCACTTCATTGTTTCACTGTCCAGCTTTCCTTCCTCTCGCAGAATTGTTTTAGGCCAGCTGTTTTCTGTTATAAAAAAAAAAGCTTTTAAAAAAAACTAAGCATACCCTACATGCTGAGTGCAGTTAGTTGGTGAAACAGTCACAGATTTGAGTCTCTAACAGAACAAAGCTAAGAGACTGAATATTGGATATACATTCATCAAGTATGCACATTTCTTCTTAACGACAGGCTTTCCATAGCAACTGAAAAGATAATGATATGTCAGTGATGTGAACTTGTTTTAACTGCTGCCAAGTGGCCAAATAATTACTTATCACCGGTTTATGTGTCAATGGCATTAACTCAAAGAATTGACTTCAGAATATTGATGTCCTCGCAGTCCAGTAATGAATTAACTTCCTCTCTCATCCCTCAGATGAGCACCAACCTCCTCTCAGCAGCGATTCGGACACTTCCATCATCATCGGCATGGAGGTGGGTATGTCCGAAGTGGAGCTGTCTGCCGAGCAGGCATGTGTCGAGGCCAAATCCAGAGCCAATCAGAGCTGAGCAAAAAGCACGAACCAGGACAAGGAGGTAGAAAGCAGGACTGAGAGATCAGTGGACCTACAGAGATTTGAACTCTCAGAAGATGGGCTAATGACCAGTACAACCAACAGCAGCACAAAACACCCAATTCTGTCTCCACTGACTGAAAAACAGTGTCGTCCGTGCATCTGTTGCTTGCTCATTTTCTAGAAAGTCAACCAGACAGACAGTCACAGCTCTCACATTGTGGTGGCCCAGTTTTTGTCCACGTAAGTTTTTTTTTTCACATCCTTTAACCTATCGTCTGAAATGCACATACAGTAACTGCGGAGATGTTGGAGCTCGTCATGGTGCGGAGAAGGCAACATTTGTCTCTTCTCAGTTTGGCAAACCAAACCTGCTGCTGGACACAAAGTGGACACAAGAGCAGCAGGGCCTCCTCAACTCCAGACTGCAGCTTTAATTACTATAAAAAATGTGTGCAGATGGTTTGACTTCTTGGTATGAGATCACTGCCAACAATTCCAGAAGTTTTACTGATGTTATGAATACATGCATAGCACATACAAACAGTATATAAGCAGTTTCGTCCCTCATAGTTGGTGTGAATTCCCACCAGCAGTTTTCCAGCTTCTGACTTGGGTACATGTTGTTATCCAACTTCAAAATTAGGTTTCATGTGGTCACGTGACATTGAGGAGATGAAAAATGTAAGCACACATAATGCTGTACTTTCTAAATGTAACTGTTTCTGTTACTATTTTGTGGGTCTTGATTTTTAACTTTACCAACTGATTATTCCTGTTGTGGAAAGGAAATAACCAAACACAAAGCAGATGTTTCTGTTCTCACATTTGACAATCATAAGCTTGTCATAAGCAGTTTGAAGTGATGTCACCCACTGCCCTACCAAAACTGCTGCTAAATGTTACACCACACGTTATCACAACACATGGGTCAGTGATCAGTACAGACAGTACGTCTGTCAGGCAACAAACGTTCTTGTTCACACTGCTGCTGAATACAGCTGGTTCCAGCAGTTGTCACTACCAAATCTGGCAGTGTGTGCACACGTCTGTATACAAACCGACACTTGTCAAGCCAGCTGATATGAATATGTCAACACGTCTTTGTGCCAAGCTTATCTGTTGTATTTTAAACATTGTTATTTCTCATGTACACCGATTCCCTGGAATGGCACCGAGTCTTTTCATGATATAAAACCTAAGAAACAACACAAGGACACAGGATTAAAGATGTGTGTCCGCTAAAAGAAGGACTATGTTTGGAGAAAAAGGAGGGAACTATGCATTGCTAGGGTTTTGTCTGAGGAATATGATGCCCCAAGCATATTTTTTGAAAAGATTATAACATGAAAATGTTTACAGCTGAAAAGTATGTCCACGCTATGCTGGCTAACGTTGTAAACCTGATGCACCCCCCGTGTTTACTTGGTTGGAAGGGTTTCAGCAAAGATCTGTTAATGCCGCCAACTGAAGTGCATCATGTGGAGACAATGTGACAGTTGCTCAAAGGGATAGACCCAAGAGAAGAATTATCACCTAGATAAGCAGCCGCCTCTGGTTTATGAAGCTTTATGCTGTTTGTAAATTAATTTTAACTCATTGTTTTAACTGTCCAGCCTGCATCGTTACAGTTGATTACGCTGACTGCTCTCGTAGTGTCATTCGTTTTTTTAGTGAAAAATGTCCAACCCACTCCAGACTACCTGCCCAGGACCAAACAAAAAGCTGATACAATACCGACCGTCTGCTTTAAGTGGCAGAAATATCACTCAGAAGTAGGTTGAGACCAAAAACGGAGCTAAAAACAGTAAAACTTGCGTTTCGGTGCTGCTCTAATGTGGAAAAAAAAATTTGAATTTGACACTATTTTTGGAGGTTTCATGATGCCAAAAATGTTGGCATCTTGGTTTTCCTTTAACAATGTATCCATAAAAGGAAACTATAAAGACTGTTATGGAGAAAATGTGGCCAACGTAGCGTAGACATATATAGACTTTGATGATGATTCTGACTGTTAATGCACAATACAGTGTCTGATAGATTTCATCCTTTTGCTTTTCCCTTTTATTGTTATGTTATTTATTCATGTTTATCGTCCTGTATTGTACTAGTTCCTTTTTATTTTAGAAGTAATGTCTCATGTAGTACGATCAGCAGAATCTAGTGCTGGATTCAATCTGTTTCCTCTCACATTCCTGCAGACTTGCACACTGAAGAAGCACAGACCCACTGACTCAGTCGACGGAGCCAGTCAGATTATAACTGGTGGTTTTTCTCTTGCAGTCATTGTTTCCATCGAGTCCTGCAGCCACCTGGGACTCTCTTATGTAACTCACACGTTCACACCCTCCTTGTTTGGGTCAGTCATTTAGTGTATGTGCAAACATTTCAGTGTTTCAGAAAGCATTGGTATTAGGAGAGACAGATGGTAGTTCCTATTTGTGTAAAAGCTTTGTGAGATAGAGTATTTTTGGCTTTAGAGACTTGATACCTACAGACACCACAGCACATTGTAGTAATGCTCGTCCATAAAGTGAAAAGGTGTCCAGGTGGTGATGGCAGTGTTTCACCGAGATATTCTGCCTACAGGTGGGAGAAAGCTTGACAGTTTTCACATTACCTCGCTTCATGTTGTATTATTATTTCAACTTCAGCATCTCTACATGTAACATACATTTTCAGCTTAAATGAAGTGTGTGGTAACATCGTAGAAGGATTGACAAATGGTTATTTTCATATACTTTTAGACAATTTGGGGATAACTGTCTGATTGAAAATTCTGGTTTATCTCTAGCTGTGCATCTTTTCTGTTGTGGCCATGAAGGTGCGGAAAGAATGTGATTCTTGCCAGCTCAATATAGACGCAGATGCTTAAGTCTCAGCCTGCGTAATCTGGACCTTTAAGCCTCTGTATGTTACATCAGCTCATGTGGATAATGACACAGCACAATACATAGCATTACTCATCAATATTTGTCAATCTCCTCGTCTTTCTTTTTTGTTTTCTCCCTTTCTGCACTTTGAGTTCGTGAGTGTTTCTTTGGTCATTTTGTCTCCTCGAAATCTACAAACATAGCAAACACTTTGTCCATCTGACCATTTGTTAGGTCAGCAAGAAGACAAAATAAAACAAAGCACATCCGTTCGCGGTGCCAAGTGGCTGGTTTCTGGTTGTGCTGCCAAATGAAATGAATTTTCTAAAGCTGGATTAAGACCTTTTTGTTTTTTTACAGAGCAACTTAAATTATGTGACTAAGATATGAGGCCGTCTCTCAGTTTTGTCTGTTTTCAGTCTTTCAGTAACAACTTTCTTAGGACTGAATACGATTGAGAGAGTTTAAAGGCACAAAAGACCCGTGCACACTTCATGTATTGACATTTAGTGTACTGATGATGAAAACAAAATCGGTGCCCCTAGTTGTACCTGCAGCATAACACTACTTTATGTGTCCATAATTTATGAATAATTTCTTAAAAGTTTTCCGGAAAGAAATATGAAATTGCTTCTAATTTTGGAGAAAATGTAAATGTCAATTAAAGCAGAAGCGCTTTTCAAACTCAAGTAAATATATAAATAAAATCTTTATTTGTGTATTCTAGTTTTCATTCATACATTTTATTAATTAATTAGACAGGGACAGTGTTCGTTGATTATCAGAAATTGCCCTGTTAGTCTAAAAGACAGATTTTCAAAGGTTTTTGCAGACAACGTGTTTGAATGACACCCTGAAAGTAGGGTACAGTTTAATATATACACCAGCTAAAATACTACATACTTTACATACCTTAGCACAGATGCACCAAAAAGTAATACTTGCTATATACATAGTAGTTAGCTGAGTTGCATTTAGTTACATAAAATGAATGTCAATCAAATATGGTCTCTATTTTCCAAACAATTATGTTGTCCCTTTCAGGAAATTCTTGAAAACTATTTGAAAATTATTCCTAAATTATGGACCCATAAAATAAAGCCTTATCCAAAATTGTTTTATTATAATGAAAGATATCCTGTTTCTGTTTTGTTATATTGTTATATGTTTTCTTCTGGTTGTGTTAACTTTCCTATATTGCACTTTAACCCTCCAGTGATTGGGGAAGGCTGAACTGAATGAATTTTTTAATGAACAGCTTTTAAAGAAAGAGGGCTACATGTGTCTGTTGTTGCTTATTATATAATGTTGTGATCTTTTATCTGTGCTATGTGTATGTGGGGTGGAGAGTATCAATATATTGTAAACTAAATACCCAGCAGATATAACAGCATTGCTATTTTGGTATATAAAAACATTGTATGTATGATTAGCGATGTCTCTGTCCTTTTCTTGTACCGTACACGATGCATGTGTAGGAATGTCTTTGACTGTGTGTTATAATAAATTTGAATCAGGTTTTTCCAACTTTTACAAACCTGTTTGTTTTCCGTACACTAAACATAAATGGTGGTTTGCCACAGAAAGTGTATTAGTAATGAACTTTACCATTTCAGTTCGACTTATTTAATCAAGATAAGATATAAGGTCAGGAGACCCAGAAATGAAGTCATCCTGTACAATGTGAAAAAGGAAACTCTTTCTGCAGTCAGTTTCAGTGAGCTCTGACAACATCTGTCATAAAACGTTATCATGACCTTCAACATTGCAAGATTCATCGATGACAAAAGAATGCCGTTTCATGCCCTTGTGAGATTTAAGAGGTGGGAAACAGGATGAACTCATCTTGTAAGGACTTTACAGTTTTTGTGTTGAAACCCAATAAAGCAGCACATAAATAAAGGGCCTGTGTTTATGCATACATGCAGTACTGAGTGCAAACCTTCTTGTTTTAACTCACCCTTTGTTACTCCTGTCAGTAAGTAAATGCATGATTCTGCAGTCCCAGCCAGTAAAACCTCTGCTGTCAGCTCCCTACATATTTATGGTTCTGGTGGACACTGAGGGGCTTTTTGAATGGAAAGAATGCGGAATATTTCCTGACTGTGAGCAGAACATACTGCACTAAACACAGGTTTGTGATAAAGTAAACACAACTGAGTGAGTTATGTTAAAGATCCCCTCCTGTGAAAATCAAGTGTTTTTACCTTGTTAACATTTCCAGTGGTGTGTTTTTAAATGCTAAAGACATATAATGAGTGAAACATGCAGTCAACACCATTTCAGTGTGTTCATGTCAGTCTGATACAATGCACATGTAAACTTCCAGGACTGAATGGATTTAATCCAAATTAGTATCCCAGTTCTGATTATATTTTAGTGTTTACATGGAACACGGTTTCTGATCTTCTGCGTGCTGTTGTGTCTTAATTTTTCTCTTTTCCCTGCACCATATTCTTTACCAGCATGTTCAGAAGCCTGGTTAAGCTGTTTACATAACACACTTTCTCAGCTTCTATCAGCAAATCCAGGTGTCTGAACACAGATTAAGATGATCTGCACTCATAGGAGCACCTTTTACATGTGCACTTTACAATGCATTTTGTAATTGGCACACACTCGCAGGCCAAAGGTGGTGTAGCTGCCATCTGAAGTGCTCCTCATCGGGAGCAGCTTAGGGTTCAGTGTCTTACCCAAGGACATGTCGACACATGGAGGGGCCAGAGGTCAAACCATCAACCCTACAATTAAAGGACAAACTGCTCTTCCACCTGAGCTACAGCCTCCTTAAAACAAAATACTAGTGCACTAATATTAACACAGTCACTGTCTTGTATGGCACAGTAAAGGTTAAATTACGAGGGGAGACACATTCTTCATAATAAAGAAAAAAACTGAGTCGTCAACATATTTCACATGGCAAAGAGATGCACAACAGATACACTAGTTTAGGTTCTCAAATCACAAACTTTCACAGCAATATGTAGACAAGTACAGCCACTGTTTTTGTCAGTACTCAACAAATACATGATTCAATGTGGGGAGAAAATTCAATTCAGAGAAATGAGTCAGGCGGCAGTGGTAATCCTGCAGATTCGAGTGATAAGTTAGACTGGGTTGAGTGAGAAAATGTAGATGGGAACTTTAAGTAGACAAAGTCAGTGTCCTGTTTTGAACCTCGTCCTCAAAGTTGATTTATTTGTAATTTTTTCACATTTGTTCTAATTATCGGCTAATTTTTTTACCTCTTAGCTGTTGAATTGATTTGATTCTTGAAACATCTGTTACTTATTTTTAGGGGATGTTTAGCAGATAAAGATTTTGCTATTATTACTAAATCAGTTAAAATAACATTTTGCTCTGCTCTTCTTCCTCAATGCACAATTCAAATAATAAGTGTTAACATTTTGATAGCAATTTACAACAACAGTATGTCTGCTGTACAATTTTGAGACAAATGCTAGTGTAGAATAAAACAACTATTATCCTTTGTTTTATTATATATATGTAAAGCAAAAGAAACGCATCAGAAGTAACTGGAAAGCAAATGTTGTTGTGTTCTTGAATAAATGTAAGTGTTTTGAAGAGAATAACAGACTTAATAGAAGGCAAATAGTTAAAGATTGGTTGGAAATGGAAAAAAGCAGAATTGGAAAGATTTTTTTTTCAATGGCCTACGGAAACTAGTTTAAGATTTAGAGTATAAGCACAATGTGAAGGATGTTACAAGCTGATGTAGAGTCCAGCAGATGGCAGCATTCAACCTGCACTTTGCTCTGGAAACATGAAAACTGAGGCAGAGGTGGAAATTTGGATTTTTTTTTTTACATCTGTCATGTCAATAAAGGTATGGATGATTGGCCAAAGAAATAAGGAAAACCAAAGATGAAAAAATGAGTAAAACATTATCAGTCAAGTCAAAAATAAAATATACCTGCTAACATCCATGAATAATACTATGTGCATATTTCAGCATTAGCATCAGGAACTGGACAAATGAGTTCAAGTTAAGCAAAAAATAAAAAATAAAAAATTCAATATCATGCATCTTAAATTTATTTATGTACCTATGTTGGCTGTTTGTGTGTTTTCTAAAACACTTAGTCCTTAGAGCTTAGTCCTAAATGTCCTTCTGCCTGCACCCGTTTATCTCTACGTATCTCAAACCTCCACCACCCATCCCATGTTATTTCTTTTGGCATCAGGATGGATGCTTCTTCTTTTTTTTTTTTTTTTGGATTGACAGATTCATTTCTGCACATTATCTGTGATCCAATTGTATTGATTTTTCACAAATAGGAATAAAATAAATATCATCTAATTTGTTTAGAGCGTATTTTGGGGATTTTTGAAGGGTGATTCTAAAATGTATAAAGTTGCTCATTTTGGACTTTTATAGGATTTACCCTGGAAGATAAAGATGCATGTTTATAGGATTAATGTTATGAGAGTCCTTTCGGTGTATGTTCATATTATATCCATGTAGACTTTCCTATGTGTACTCATCATGCCTCATCTGTACATGTGAAAGGCGTTTGTTGTCTTTATTAGTGTGAGTGTGCTTTTCAAGCTCTCGCACTAAAACTGTGGAATGCTCCTCCTCTAAAGCCGAGAATGGTCGACTAATGTGAAACTTTTATGAGGCATCTGAAGACATTTTTATTCAGACAGGCTTTTGGTTGTAGCTGCTTTATTTTATTTTATTTATTGCTTTTGATGCACTGTATTTTAGCTGTTGCTCTCCTGTTTTATCAGTTTATTATCTTTATTGTTTCAATTTTTATCCTTGTTTAATTATTGTTGTAAAGCACTTTGTGATTTTGTATCTGTGAAAGGTTCTATATAAATACATTTTACTTACTTACTTTATTCTATCTCTATTTATAGCCTGATTGCATTTTTGTAATTCTTGTCCTGCTTCTTTGATGCCCTCATTTGTATCTCGCTGCTGTCACATGTAAATTCATCAGTGAGGGATTCAAGAAGTTTATGTTGTCTTAGGTTGTATAATGCTGCAGGATCAAATTCTGTAAGACTTCCTATATGAATCTATTCAGTTAGGAGGGAGCAAGATTTGACTGCAACATCAAATAGATTTTAGACTTTTATTTTTTTATTTTCGTAGAATCCTAAAGAACTTGTTGTCTGAAGCTGTCTCTGCTTTATTAGGTAACATGAGACACAAGTATACAGTCGTCCTCAAATGTTTTCACACCCTTCCATTAAAGAAAAGGCAAAACTCACAATAATTACCCAAATAACTAGAAACTGAAAAAAGTAATAACAAATTTTTTAAAAATTGCTAACTTATAATTTAGTGAAGTAAGACACTGTTTTCGAATTGTGGTTGAAAAAGAATAATTTAAAAAAAAAAAACTGTTCTGGACAAATGAGAGCGCTTTGCTGATGAGCAGTGGGCTCAAATCAAAATAGAGTTGTTAAACTAAATATTAGTTTACAGGTCCCATCATGCTTGTTTGCTTGTTTTTGTTTGTTTGTTTTGTTTGTTTTATATTTTTGTTGAACCACATTTCAAAAGCAATGTCAGGATTACATTCAATTTTTATTTACTATTACTTGAGTCAATTTCAACTTATTTCACTAACAGCTGTTTTTTTCCCCCTTCTTTAATGGGAGGGTATGAATACATTTGAGGACGACTGTAGCTCCTGTGGGTGAGTGTTGTTGTAGTTCACGTGTCCTCCTGCAGGGGCAGTGATGTGCTCGGTGCTGTTTAAAGCGTCTGTGGGAGCCAACGCCGCAGAAAAAGAGCAGCTCCATGGAGGAGGAGGAGAAGGAGGAGGAGAGGCTCAGTCTACAGACATTACAGCCAGAATGGGTCGCAGCGAGGAGCTCAGTGACTTCCAGCGGGGCACCGTGGTCGGATGCCACCTGTGTAAGAAGTCGGTCCGGGAGATCTCCGCCCTGCTGGACCTGCCTCGGTCCACCGTCAGCGCCGTGATCCTCAAGTGGAAACGTGGAGGAATCACGACGGCTCTGCCACGGAGCGGCCGACCACACAAGCTCAAGGAGCAGGACCGTCAGGTGCTGGAAAGGGTGGCTCTGGAGAAGTGTCTGCCCTCCATAGAGGCTCTCACCGCCGAGTTTCAGACCGCCTCCGGGGCCAGCGTCAGTTCCACCACCATCCGCCGGGAGCTCCATGAGATGGGCTTCCGCGGCCGAGTGTCCTCCTACAGCAAGCCCAAAGGTGTGTCCTGGAGGTCTGGGGACGAGAGGTTCCCGTATGCGTGTGTCCACATACTTTTGGCCATGCACTAATATGACACCTGCATGTACCTGCTGAGCTTCATACTGACTCCTGTCTCCCTCCAGTCGCTCCTCAGCTCTGCTCAGGATTGTGGCTCCTGGCTGCATCATTTGTTCCCTTTCAGAAGCATTAGTGATGTTTGCTTTCCTCTAAATTCAACCAAACTTGTCCAAATCACAACATGCATCCAGAAAAAGAATTAAAGTGGATACTAATTTTCCAGTGTTTTAATGTTTGCTGTTTGGCCCCTGACATAAAAACCACTGTGCTGGCTGGAGTAACGCCTCGTTTTATTTTTTTAGTTTGTGGTCATTTTAATAAACAGGAGAGTTGCTGTAACCTGTCCCATCCACTATATATGTGTATTTTTGCAAAAACCAAGCATGCAGATCTTTTTTTACACTAATTTTTTTATCATATAATAATAAGAATTTACTTACAACTCATCCAAATCATGTTCCAACATAAAACTTTGACAGATTCCTCCCTTTAACTCTGACTGATTGTTTTTTGCTGAAAATACCCACCTTACACATTGTTCAGGATCTGACTCATACATCATGGAGAAATTTAGGTACAAAGAATGATTTAGTTTCTGACTGATCTGATGGTGTTTGTCTTTCAGGAGGGCAGAAGGTGGCAAAGAAGCAGGGAGCCCCTGACCAAGAGGACGACAAAGTGGACGTGTCCCGCCTGGACCTGCGTGTTGGACGTATAATAACAGCTGTGCAGCTTCTAGACACCGACAGTCTGTACGTGGAGCAGATTGATGTGGGAGAGGCGTCTCCCAGGACAGTGGTCAGTGAACTGGCGAAGCACATACCTTGGGCCCAGGTATAGTATCGTGCCCTGATGTAATCTCAGTAATGGGATTTTAAAAAAATAAACATTTTAATTTACTAATTATTAGAACTCAGGTTTCATTGATGTCAAACATTTTTTTTAAAAAAGCAAAAATACTCTGGTACCTGCATATTTGCTGGCAAAGCAACATTTTTGTTGTCAACTATAGTATTGGTTATCTGATCTAAAGGTCACTGAACATCTCATCAGATTACAGGCTGCGGATTGATTTTAAAAGAACACCTGCCTGTAATACGGTCTATTGAAGTGTTTGCTTAAAAGGGAGGATGGCCAACTAAACTAAAATGCAAATTACATTTTCACGTTAGTTTTACAAATTACTGGTCAGATTGTGTTTCAGAGATTATTTCACGAGATGCACAATCATTCACAGTATGTATACTATATTACCAAACACCCCTCCGAGGGTCATAATAATTATCCATCCATCCATCCATCCATTATCTATACACCGCTTAATCCTCACTAGGGTCACGGGGGGGCTGGAGTCTATCCCAGCTGACTTAGGGTGAAGGCAGGGGACACCCTGGACAGGTCACCAGTCTATCACAGGGCCACACTTAGAGACAGACAACCAAGCACACTCACATTCACACCTACGGACAATTTAGAATCACCAGTCAACCTCAATATGTTTTTGGACTGTGTGGGAGGAAGCCAGAGAACCCGGAGAGAACCCACGCTGCACGGGGAGAACATGCAAACTCCACGCAGAAAGATCCCCGTGTTCTCACCGGGACGCGTACCGGCGACCTTCTTGCTGCGAGGCAACGGTGCTAACCAACTGCGCCACCTTGCAGCCCCTAATAATTATATACTTGTTAATTTAAAGTGAACTGTATACAATATCACACCATATCACTGCGAAGTGTGGCAGTAAAATTTTTTCCTTAATTGAAACTGTGCCAAGCCCAAACCACAAGAACGGTCCCACACCAAAAGTATGTGGGCGCGTATTAGGAAACATTCTTTTGGCTCTACAGTCTAACATGGTAACATATGCCATCTGTATAACATGTATGCAAAACCTTAGAAAATACAGACCACATTTTTATTCTTCTGAGTTTTGAAACATTTGTTGAGTTTTTTAATTTGAGAAGGTTCACCTTTCTGTTGCACTGGAGGTTTGCTTGTGGTGAATCCTCTGAGGTTCTAGTCATGACGTCTTCTGTTACTCGTTAACTTCCCTCAGTAGCATTTCTGCCTTGCCGTGGAGTCGTAAACATTTTTCTTTTCTTCACAAAGCAAATGAGTTTCTACTTCTCTGTCAGATTTGTGCCCCTCAGTCCACCAGGTCATTTGCCATGTCCTGGTTTTCTTGTGAGCTTCTGCGGGTTCAGAATGAATCTAACTACATTTAATGTCTCTCTGGTCAAGTTTTGCTTTTTGTTGTTGTGTGTACTTTCGTGATCGCATCTTTATATTTTACAGCCAAGTTCACTACAATCTAAATGGCAACTCTCAGTCATGTGTGAGCTCCATTTTGCATGAGCTGATGTTGATTTTCTGTCTTGATTTTGTTTGGTGATGTGCTTCCAACTTTGCAACAGCAATCTGAGAAAAGACGTGTAATTGTTATAACATGACAATGGCACAAAGTGAGGCCCACAAGTTTCTAAGTTTGTTGGTTTGAGTGACTCAACACACTAAACCCCGAGTGATTGGAGACTCATAGCAAATACAAATGTTTGAGTATCAAGGAGTGATATTATTTTTAAGATCTAGTATTTGTTATCACATTGAGAGTTCATGATTTAAAAAAAAACTGTTCAGAGTCGTCATTGTTGTATAAATTGAATTCTCAGACCAGCATTCAAACAAAATCAGTTGAAGGTGCTTTTCATTATGTTAAATTTGGTGTAATTTGTTTGTATGTTGTCTTGAAAATATGGCCTTTTAAAATGTATACCATCTCCTGTTCCTAATGCAGATGCAGAACCGTATGGTGGTCATACTGTGTAACCTGAAGCCAGTCAAGACAAGAGGAAGGATGAACCAGGCTATGATCATGTGCGCCAGCTCACTAGATAAGATGGAAATCCTTGATCCTCCATGTGGAGCTGTACCAGGGGACAGAGTTACTTTCCAGGGATTCCCAGGTACTAAAACTGGACCACTTTACACTCAAAACCTAATAATTGGCCTAAATGTTATGTGAATTCTCAACCAAACAGTCACTACAGATACATGATCATCAGTGAATGACTTGTCATTGTCTTGCTCACGCCTTTGCTCGCATGTGTTTCTTTTATGTTGGTGTTTATCATACTGGTACAGTTCATTGTCATTAATAGCACAATCAGGCACACCACAATATTAGTATTATACAGTCCAACACTGATTGTGACAAAGACACAGAATGACATGCACTACAATAGTTAATAGGTGCCTGTAATTCCACGTAATGGAAATCTTACAAACGGTGCCTGTAAAAAATATTCATCCCCGTCGAATCATTGTCAATAGAAATAGACTTTTTTTGCCAAGAATTTACAAAAAAGACTCTTTCATGTCAAAGTGAAAACAGAATTCTACAAAGTAAAATCAATTAGTTATAAATGAAAAAAAATACAAAAAGTGAAATAAGTGATTGCATAAACATTTGTAAGGTCTATACCTTACTTTGCTAAGCACTGTGTGATAATGTATTAGAAACTGTGCTATACAAATGAAATTGAATTGAACTGAATAAATATTCCCCCCCTTTAAAGTGATTTGCCAAATTCAACAGAGATGCAGCTAAGTGGTGCTAGAAGTCACATATTTAGTGAAATGGAGATCAACTGAGTGCACTGAATGTGTCTCAAGTGATGTAGCATGAAGATACCTGTATCTGGAAGGGAAAAGAAAATGTGGAAAGGTCATTGAAAAGCATAAATCAGGGGATGAATATAAGAAAATTTCCAGGTCACTGAGTATCCCTTGGACAACAGTAAATTCATAATTAAGAAATGCAAGGAATATGGCACCTGCATAAATCTGCCTCGAGCAAGCCATTCTTAGAAACTGAGTGACTGTGCAAGAAAGAGACTAGCACAGACTAGCACTAAGACTGGACATCATGACAAACACACCATTCTCATGTGAAGCATGGTGGTGGCAGCATCATAACGTGGGGATGCTTCTTAGCAGCAGACTCTGGAAGGCTGGTAAAGATGGAAGGTAAAATGAATGCAGCAATATATAGGGAAATCCTGGACTGCAACCTGATTCACTTCAGGGAAAAACTACAACTTGACATGAAGCATAAAGCCAAAGCAGCACAGAAATGGTGTAAAGACAAAGAGGTGAATGTTGTGGAGTGGCTGAGTCAGACCCCAGACCTCAATCCATCTGAGAATTTGTGGCTGGAGATGAAAAATGCTCTTCACTCACAATCCATGTGCAACCTGACAGAGATGAAGCCGTTTTGCAAAGAAGAATGGGGTAAAACTGCAGCGTACTAATGTGCAAGGCTCATTGAGACCTATTCACACAAGCTCAATGCTGTAAATGCTGCCAAAGGTGCATCTACTAAAAACTGACCTGAAGGAGATGAATACTTATGCTTTGGTTTTGTTTTTTTTGTGTGTGTGTTTTTAGATTTTTAATTAATTCACTTTACTTTGTAAAAAACTGTTTTCCCTTTGCCATGAAATAGTATTATTTATAAAATAAAGTCTTGTGAAAGAAGCCCCCGTGACTGTGATTCAAATGGGAAAACTTCTGAGGATGACAAATGCTTTTTATAGGGTGCTGTATTTCCTTTAATGTAACGGTGACTCCATGCAAAAAGTCAGATCCACAAAGAAATCGTTTTTTTTTTTTCCAACTCTGCCAAATGCCTTTGGGAGGAATTGGACTGCAACACTGTGAGCAGGCCTTATCGCCAAACCTCACTGCTGGCCTCAACGATCCCTTGTGGCTCCCTGGGAGAAAAGCTCTCTAACCAGTTTCCATAATCTTGTACAAAACCTTTCTGGAAGCGTGAAGGATGTTACAGTGGAATGTTGTTGCCAGTTGTTTTGATGCTTGAGCATGTTTGCATGGCTATGACATGCTATGAAAAGGTTCTCCTAGATTCCTGAAATCATTAATCCTGCTCTTGTTGAGGCTTGTTGAAAGTACAGAGAGGATTTTAATGTACCATACTGCCTTCTTGAATGCAGGTGAACCAGACAAAGAGCTGAACCCCAAAAAGAAGGTGTGGGAGCAGGTGCAGCCGGACCTGCGCGTGGACAGCCAGTGTGTTGCAACCTACAAGGGAGCTGCCTTTGAAGTGGTTGGAAAGGGAGTGTGCAAAGCTCAAACTATGAGCGACTGTGAAATCAAATAAACTAACAGAGCTGCCTGGAATAACTCAGTGCAAATCCCTGCAGCCAGCCAGGACTCAAGATGTTGTGGAAAGGCTTCCCAGAAGAGCGGAGGCTGTTGTAGCAGCATAGTAACGCCCACAGTTTCGGAATGAGACGTCCAACAGTCACCTGGGTGTGATGTTTGAGTGTCCACATACTTTTGTGCTGTAAGACAGTGAAAACGATAGTGATGAGCCCTCTGTTGGACTGACACGAACATGACTGTTACATGGATTGTAATGAAAAATGTGTAGTTCTGAATTTGGCCAAATGAGGGCGCTACGTCACCCATCATAATGTGCAGTTAGTGTGTGTTGGTTTGTTCCAGTGTGACATGACAACATGCAGCAGGCTGTCATATCCAGCACGGTGGCAAGAAAACGGAAATTCTTTCAGAGAATTCCGTTCGGTTGGGAAGTATTTTGTAGAATATTTATGTTTTCCCGTGAGACTGTAAAAGTCATTTCCATTGAATGATGGATGAAACTAAACAGTGCAAAAGTCCCCTGCAGAAAGGGGACATTCAACAGTTTTGCTTCTTGTACGTGTGGCTATGATTTGAAAATGAGTCCAGTGTGGCAGAGACTTGTGAAGCAACAGAACAAGATTACCTAACTGTTTCTCAACAAATGATGGGCATTAGTCACTGTGTCATGTATCAGTGTGCTTATGTATCGTTTATTTGATATAATACAGTTTTTTTTAATCTGATATCCAGACAAATCTGGGATTCCCAGTAATGAAAAGCAGATGTTTCTGTATCATTGGTTTGGATGTAAAAGTGTTTCACTGTTTCTTCACCCAAGAAGTTTTCTATCCATTCTCCATTTGCAGATTGTTACTCTGCTCTTTTAAATATTTCTACAAATGAGCAAAACCTTAACTTTTGTATGTCGTACGTCATAAAACGTGTTTCAGCTTCAATTCATGATGGCCATCGAGCATATTTATCATTTTAAGAGAAAAATAAATCAACACGTCTTGGGTTTCAAAACACGCTGCCTGTATGCTGTTCCTGTGTCCAAGCCAAGCCCATTAAATGACCAAAAAAGAAAAACACTAACACGCAAAGTTTTTCTTCCCTTTTTTGCATAGGAAGAACTGAACAACTGCTCATAAAGAATGGGGATGTGATTCAGGAACTGAGAAGTGGGGGAGACACGATGTTACTGGTACTTTTTTTGACTGTACAGGACTTATGGGGAATGGTATCGCTCTTTTTATAAACATAAATGTTATTCACGACTACATCACAGGGAAAATGAAAGAGGAAAATCCACCGTATGCATTTACCGCAAAAACAGTCCACCACTATACGCACTGTTGCACTGCTGATCCTGTCAATCACGTCACATGTCCCATAAGACTGTAGTTTTTGGTTTGTGTCTTTACATGTGCTTATTATAAATACTGGACTTGTGTGGTTGAAAGTTAATAGGCCTACAGAAGCAGCAGAAAGAGGGATTTTTCATCTCACGCTGCTGTGTGTTTACTCGTACTACAAGTTGACATTAAGAAAAAGACTTAAATGCTAATAGGTTAGGAGGTGACATTAATGTGGTGTCGATCCCCCAGCCACAGTGCAGTCAGCTCATGCACAAACCCACCAAGGGGGAAACCATAGTGGAGAGAGTGGAGGTACTGTACAGGTCCATCACTCATTTCTGTCCGTGCATCTGCAGTAACAGCGAGTCAGTCCTGGAAGTGTGCAGCCTGTCGACTCGGTGTGGTTCACCGGAGCGGAAAGTTTGTAAACAACCACCTGAAACCTGAAGTGAGTCAACCTATGAATAAAACGCTGCTCTATGTCTTTCTGTATCCTGTTTATGAAGCTACAGAAAACGCAACAAAACTCTCTGCCACGGATGAGTCACAATCTCACAGTGCTTGCGGGGTATTCACATGTTTAATTTCTCCTTATGTCTTCTGTTATCATTCTATTTTATCACATTTACTTTATATTCAGGTTTGCTCGTATGTCTGTAGAATTAGCCAACACGATTGCTGTAGTTCTCAAAATATATGATACCAAAGGCTGGATTACCAGCCCTACTCCTTTAGGAAGAGGCCCTCAAAGACAGCAGGTCATTGAGATTAGTAAAGACCCTTGGATGGCTTCTTTGGTCTTAAAATGGGGCCTGTGATGAAATCTAGTTTTAATCATTAACCTCAGTAAGAAGCTTTCAGTTCAGACAGATTGTCTCGTTCCACAGTCTGACACTGTGTTGACTTCTTTCCAAACTCTGTTTACACCAAGTAAAATATTTAAGCCCTGCAATCAATGTGAATTGTAAGAGACTGTATAGACCTGATGTCCACCAGATAAATACAATTCATTCACTGAAGCAAAAGTTTGAAATCAAATGTTGCCATGAAATAGTC